AGCAGCTGCATGCTACATGAATTTGACTCCTAAAAGGAAAAGACCTGTGTGGTATTTTGCCTGTAAATTCCACTACACAGAGAAGAAGCATCTCTTTTAGGGTCTGGAACAGCACAGAACTGGAACTACGCCTGCTGCATCCTAGAGGCAGGGATCACACAGCCACCCTGCAAACTGCGGGCTGCATGAGACTGGGCCACGTGTCCACAGCATCTCACAGCCCTGAACTAAAGGAAGTGAAAGGTTTGGCCAGGATGCCCCCAGCAGCATTAATGACCGCTGGGGGCTGGATCCGCCCGTGTGCTCCAGCAGGCCAGCATGGACGGCCCAGAGCCCCTGATGCTACTCGACAGCCAGCACCATGCGAGCGAGGAAAGCAGGATCCCGGGCTGCATGCTATGCACGCGGCTGTGTCCTCACAGTGCTCCTCTGGAGTGATCTCATCCTGCTGCAGAGGTCATTGGGTAGACAGTCACACAGGCTGAGGTGGCCCAGCCTGGCTCAGTGTCTTCCTTAGGGAAAAAATTCAGAGCCACCACCCCAGGGGTTTGCCTCCCTCTTGGAATGCTGCAGAGCCCTGGGCAGACACTCCAGGCATCCAGGCGCCTGGCCTTGGCTGAGGCATCTGGCTGGCACTGCTATGAAAATCCGTAATTTGTCTGTCCTTCTGAGTGCTCAGGTTTGTCACAGAGGCATAGGTAAGAAGTCAGTGGGAAGACTGCGATGTCCTGGGAGTGGCTGGGCTTGGGACAGAGCTCTGGGCACATCCCTGGAGGGGTGTCCTTGTGTGGTCTGTCAGTCAGCAACCAATGTTCCCGTGGCCTCAGCAGTGGAGCCAACACGCACACCCCCGCGCCCCTCCTTACAACCGACAGTTCTTGCAACAGGAACGGAAGCTGAACCAGCCTGACGCTGGGCTGAATGAGCCCACTGCAGCGAGCTGTGCAGCAGCAGACCCAGGACAAGACGCAGGCTGGAGGGTGCCTGCACCGGCTGTGGGCTGTCCCTCCAGAGAGGGAAGGAATGGTGGCGGCACAATGTTGTCAGTGAACTGGATGCTGCTGAAATGTACTCCTTAAATAGTCAGCAAGCGGGGCACAGTGGTGCACACATCGTGATTTTAGCACTCTGGGAGGCTGAGGCAGGAGAACTCCAGGTTGGAAGCCAGCCTAAGCAACTTAGTGACATAGAGGCCCTGCCTCAAAGGGAGGAGAGGGTGTTGCTCAGAGGTAGGAGTTTCCCTGGTTCAAACCTCAGTACCAGAAACTAGAAAATATAGGTAGGCTGCTGGAAACCAGGTTAGCTACCTCCTGTAGTTTTCAGAGGCAACAGAAAGGAAATGACTTTCCAGACTCCTTGGGCCGACTATGCGGAATATCATGCGAGGTCCTTCACGTCTGCACGGACCCTGGACTGGCATCTCCAGCAGCCCATTGGCTGCGCAGGAAGCAGTCTCCTCCCTCTGGGGAGACGGGAGGAGGCGCGGGAGAGGCTGGGGTGTACTCGGTGCCAGCCAATGAGAACAGGTCTTGTTTCACTTTTCTTTCCAAAAGATGTGACGGCTTAATTTCAGGGACGTCTTGTTTTTTCATGCACAGCAATCTACATTTATTCATTTCTGTACAAACCCTACATTTCTTCAAATAGTCACATCATCTTCAGGAACATCATCGTAACCATTCAAACCCGAATTGTGGCCTCAATTTCTTGCAACTCCATTTCCCACCGAACCACTGGCCCAGGCGCTTATGTGCAGCACCACAGCTGCCTCCTTGTCCATGTAGCCTGCTCGTAGCGCACTGGCCACGCGGCTGTCAGTGATTTTATCCCGCGAATTCTTCACCCCAGTCCTGACCTCCTCCTGCAGGCTGGCTTCACTAGGTATTATTAAAGTTTCCGTTAAATCAAGTGGTAACTGAAGACTTATGATAGGAGCAGCAACAAAAATGATAAAAGTTAAGAATGATGCACCACACGAAAGTGACAAAAAAATTACAGGGACCAAAATTTAGAAAACATTTCTTTATTTCACGAGTGCACTAAGTACGTCCATCAGAACACACAATGCACTGTATGAAGATCCACATTAGACACCCTATCCGCTTGCTCGTTACCAAGTGTACATGTTGTCTGTGTTTTGCGCCTGGAGTCCAACTGGTCATTCAGTACTAAGCCATCGGTTTTCTAAAGCATTTACATCTTGTCCAAAGGCACCTGCTTGGGTATTCACAAATAATTATAATTTATATTATCACTTAGGTATTATTTATATTTAATTATATATTAATATTTTCTAACTCACTGTGTGTTACAACTAAATGTATCTGTCTGGACACTGATCTTACTGAGCTTCTTTTGCGATAGGGCTTACGAAAACGCTCCACAATCATGCTAGGGCTTCCTTGCTAGTTAGGTCTTACTTTCAGGGAAATAGGGTGGCTCACTGTGAAGGCTCTGGGTTCAATCCCCAGTACTACAAACGAATGATTAAGTGGATGAAATAGTAAAATAAACATTAAAACTACAAATTAACCCGAAACCCAAGATACAACAGTAAGACAAAGATGAGAAACTACAAATCAGTGTCTCTTATGCCCCAAACGAAAACCAACCCTCAAGTATTATCAGCAAGCAAATCCAGCAGCTTTCAGGACTATGCCATAACCAAGTGGCTCTTTCTCAGAATGGGAGTCAGCTGAAGATGAAAAAAATTAACAGAAAAGATAAACGCAACCATCTCTCGGATGCAGAAAAGCCGTCTGACACAATCAGCTGCCCGCCTGCTGCGGTGGCCCCAGCCTGAGAACGCCTCTTGGCTCCGTCAGAGCCTGGCTCCATGAGCGTTTAGGGGCTGTCCTGGCTGCCAGTGTCCTGAGTTGGCGCAGAATACTCCCCTTTCGTGGCTGTTCTGACCCTTGGGCCGCATGCAACAGCGGTCCCTGTATCTCTGACCACACCTCATAAAGACACTCATGAAAGTGCACTTTAGGAACGGCTTCAGAAAGTGGCAAGGATAATGGGATCAGCGTAATCAAAGTGGCAGTGTTTTTTAAATAATAAATTTAAACATTCACTGTGCACTTCCATCACACCGTGTATTCCAAATCCCGCCCCCCCTAACTGCCCAAAGCAGTTAGGTCCTAGTGGGACCGTGAGGAAGCTCCAGGTGCAGGAGCAGTCTCACATGGAGAGGTGGCAGGTTTGGACTCAATTCAAAGTCCTGATCCACAATCCCCAAGTCCAGTGTGGTAACCAGACAAGTTTGTGAATCTGCATGTGTGCAGATTCCTTTTAAATAACAGCAAATACAAATTCATATGCTTGGGCAGCTGAAGCAGGTCGTGGTGTCTTTTGAGTTTAAAAACTTAAAAAGCAGGACCTTAACACTAAAATTGTACATCTCACACCCAGTGGTGCAAGTCCTCTCTGGTGGTGTGAGCACAGGGGATTCTCTGCAGTGATGGCCAGTGGGCCCTTGGTTCAAGAATGCTTTTATTTTCAAATAATTTGGGTTGCAGATAAACATTTGGCAGGTTATTTTGTGGTACCTAGGATTTAGCTCAGGACCCTGCACTTGTCAGGCAGGAACTTATACTGCTGAGCTACATCCCCTGCCCACATTTGGCCGTTTTATTTTTGTTTGTAAACTCTACCTTAGGGAACATCTCTCTCAAACAAAGACACGTGACCATCTTTTCCAAAATCATAGAACAGATGAAGTCTGTGAGCTTAGGTACTACTGTATTTTCCTGTGTTCTCTAGTTTAGAAGGAATACACATTTTGTTGGCTGATCCTACATACTGTCCAGTCCATTTTCAAATGTGAAACTGCCACGACACAAGCTGACACATGAAAGAACTGCCCAGCGGTGAAGGCCGCCTCAAGTTGTCTCTGGTACCCAAGCATGAGGTGGCTGTAGAGAGAAAAGACAACATGAAAACCTTTGGCTGGAGGACCACTGCTTGAAATTAGCCTGGGCTACAAAGAGAGCTCAAGGCCATCCTGAACTGCATAGTGAGATCCTATCTCAAAAAGACACACACACACACACACACAAAAAAAAAAAAAACCCCACAAAAAGACAAAACAAAAAATCTTTTGGAAAAAAAAAACCCTTTTGGTTGAACAAGGCTATGGAGCCCAGTGCTACTGGCCAGAGGAGAGGGGAGGGGAGGGGACAAGGTCCACACAGAGCCACCATCTTGCACAGGGCAGCAGCAGGGGGCAAGGCAGGCATCAGAGGACCACACGTAGAAGGTAGAGGCCTACCTGGACAGCCCGCCAGTAGGACTTTCTCCTGTCTTGTGCACGATGTCTCCAGGAGGTGTAGCAGCCTGAAGGACACACTGAGGGACAAACCACAGCCGACACCAACTTCAGGGGCTGATGGACCAGTGTGGGCTGTGGGTGACCAGGGAGGCTGCCACGAGGGACTGCCTAGCTCGGCAGGGTCCCTTGTCCCACGCCAGCACCGCCCTGAGAGACCCCTGTACCCCTCGTTCGCTCTGCTACTGCACATCTGTCCTCTGTACCAGACTATACTGGGGAAACCACGTGCTGGAAATCACATGAATGTAAAGGACCGTTCTGCTCCCCTGACCTAGAAAGACAGCTCTTTATTGTCCAAGAAAATAAGGGTCACCAATGAAGGGAAACAGACCAACATGGGTGTCCACGTGTCACACACCCCATTTTCCCACCCAGTGGCAGGCTGGCACCTCTGTGGCAGGAGGAGACAGGCAGGGAGCCTGCCCACGCATCACCACGTTCTGCTCTGCCCTGCCCTCTGTGGGACCCACACAGACGCTGCCTGCGGCTTCTACTCCCACCGCTGGGCCCTCTCCGAGGCGACGCCTCACACAGCATGGTGGCAGGAGGCCCTGGCTCATGTCCTGTGATGACATCACCGTCTTGACAACTACTATCCAAACAGACTCTCAAAACAAGGAGAGCAATGTCTGCCTTCATAACGTGCTGCCCCGTTCTTCACAGTACAGAATACAACAAAATTAGTCACTTTTATTTAAAAGAAACCGTACAAATAAGTGCAAAATTAAATTTCATGATTAAATACACGTAAAGGCAACATGCATCCTCGACATCAAAACCCACGTGGGAAGTTAGTCGGTTACATAACAGCAAGGACATGGCAGGCTGCAGACCTGCCGCGATGCAGACTGTAAATATGTGCAGCCTGAAATCAAAACCATGAAGCTTCTTTCAAGCTAACTGAAGGAAAATATTTACCTCAAGGAGCACGGACAACGTGGAACCCAGAGCCTGAGTTACCAGATTCTTCGAAACGGTACGTGCCTTTCATCCTCAAAATGTTAGTGTGCAGCTACTCATAATGCTGGGGAGGCGGCAAGGGGTGGACGCAGCAGCTAAAGCTGTCCCCACACAGAGGTCCCCAGGACATGTGGCTAGCTCTGGGGAAGAGCCCTTCGAATTAAGGGATGGTGTTTTTTGTTAACTAATTTTCCACTTGTCTATGCACTATTTTCTTCCCTACACGTCACGAGCGAACTGCCTGAACCCAGATTTAACTGGGAAACCCACAGTCATGCTCCTTCCTGGAACAAGAACCAGTACTCTGCTCACTGGGGCCCTCTGTGCCTCCCTCCCACTGCTGCCACAGGGCTGCAGCATGTGTCGCGGGTGTGGGCGGGTGGCTCTCACTTTGGGAACCTGGTCTGGGCTGCACTGCGTTGCCAGGACACACCTGCTCGCTGCCCCACAGCTCAGGGGCCAGGGGGTCGGTGCAAAGACGGGCTCCACTGTGCTGTCCCCAGGTTGCCGAGAAGTCTCTGCCAGAGTGAGGATGCGGTGGGTGGAGCCACTAATACTAATGTCACAGTTGAACTAAAAGGTGGCGGCGGCGGGTGGGCCACTGAGTGTCTGCAGTGCCTTGGTGATGGTTCTTTAATTCAGGAAACAGGAGCCTTTCTCAAGAAGGCAGACAGCCTCGATGGCTTGATACCCAAGTCCTGAGCAGTCCCTCCTAGCCCCCGCTCCCCAAGGTCCTGGGCATTGGCACCAGCCCCAGGGGTCTGCAGGGCACTGGGCAGCTGGCACTTGGATGCTCAGGGCTAGTGTCACAGCTTGTCGTCGGTCATCTCTAGGAACTGCGCGTACACGTCCCGGATGCACTCGCCCTTGGGGTTGAACAGGAACTTGTAGTAGCTGCCGTCGGCACAGATGGCTAGGATAAGAGACGCTGTGTCGGCCAGGGCTGCACGCACTAGGCTCTGAGCTGAGTGCCGTGTGGCTCACAGTCCCCACCCGCCAGGGCACTGCTCTTCCTAGGAAGCCACTTACCAATGACCGCATTTGGCTCCGTCCCAAAGGCACAAATGCAGGGAGAGCCCGAGGGGACCTGGAACTTGGAGAAACTCCATTTGGAACTGAAGTATTTTGGAAGGAAGCTGGCGGATGCCAGACTACAAAAACAAGGAGAAAAGAAAGAACAGCATTACCTGCTTAAACCCAGAGAGCTATTAAAAATACTAAAGTGCTCTAAAATAATTTTGGACTGAATCATTTCAATTCTATCTTTTTAAAACTTTTACTTACAGAAAAACTGAGGTTTGTTGTTTTTATTTGGTTTTTTCAAAGAGGGCCATCATTTAGGCTGGCCTTAAATTCACTATGTAGCCCAGGATGGCCTCAAACTTGTGGCAATCTTCCTGCCTCAGCCTCCTGAATGCTGGGATTACATGTGTGAGCCACCCTGCCTGGCTATAAATGGATTTATAATAACAGCAGCCCCACCGGTAGGCCTCTTCTGCCATCAGGGTCCCCAACACGGATGTGAACCATCACCCAGAAAGACTGAGTGCTCACCACACATCTTTGTGACAGACTCCAGCCCTGCCAAACTGAAGCAGGGGTCAACCCTGTTCCTCCAGGTTCTTCCCTGCCAATAGGCCTAGAACCTACCTAGACTGCTTATTCCTTTTTGGGTCCTCAGCTGCAAAAATGTGCACTGTGCCATGGTCACTGGACACACAGATGAGGGAGGCATCCTGGTTGAAGTTGATGCTGCAGAAAAGATGAGATAAAGTTTGGGCTCTGTGGGGACCCCAAGAACAGGCATGACACGCATAGCACCCCATATAAGTTCACTCCTCAAGACCTCCAAGTCCTGATCTAAGGTGGTACTTCAAGAAAGGCCCTCTCTGCCATTTGCCCATAGTTGTACCCTTAGGCCAGGGTTGAGCTGCAAGCCAGGACTTGATGCTCTCAGTCTGAGCCTAGGCGTGAGGCTCAGGGAAAGAGACTGGCAAGCCCAGGCTGCTCCAGGGCTGGGCACTGGCCCCATGTGTCTGTGAGCCGAGCCTCCAGACCCAGAGCCCTGGCACCGGAAGCCAAGATCCCACATACCAGCCAGCATTGGTGGGGAGCCCCAGGCTGGGCTCTTGCACATCAGCACTGCAGACCTGTGGGACCACAGACCAGTCCATCTCAGAACTCATTGGCCAAGAGATTAAGGGCCAGCCAGCAAGGCCTCTAGCCTTCGTTTTAAAATGCTACAGAAACCAACTTGGAATGAGGTATAAGGATGAGTTCAAGCCAGCAAAGGATGAGTGCCCAGGCGGGGTGCTGAGCCCACATCAGGCAACCACAGTGGTCTGCTAAGGATTTATGGTGGCATCAGAGACTGAGCCTTGGGGCACATGCATGCCAGGCAAGGTAGTGAACTACACTCCCAGCTCTTATTTGAGACAGTCTTGCTAATTTGGCTGGGTAAGCTTTGAAATTGCAATCTTCCTGCCCAGCCTCTGGAGTAGTAAGGATCACGGGGACAAGCCCCCATCCCGGCTTTCTGCTCCTTTTATGTACACACCATATAATATAAAGTAAAATGCAGTAACAGCAAGAAGAGCCGAAACCGCCCACCTAGCAGCTGTCAGGGTCAGGCTATATGTCCTTACCAGTAGATATTGGCTGCTTGAGATCCTCTTCGTAGCTCCTGGATTAAATGCCCTGATGAAGTATCAAATATTCTTATAAGGGTCCCCTTTGAAAAACAGTGAAGTGTTTTATTATCAGCGATTCACAACTCCCGAGTCTTTGAGATGATTTGTACTCACAGGCCCCCTGGCCCGTAGACCCTTTCCCAAACTCCCCACCACACAGGGCTGCCACAGACCCAAGAATACACTGGTAGCTTAGTCCCACAGACTGGCAGGGCACAGCATGGGTGGGGAATGATGCCTGACTGAAACAGACACCCACCCTGTGGCTGGCACTCTAGGAAAAGGCCCAGGCCCCATGCCTGCCTCCCTCGCAAGATAGGCGCCATCTGCAGAAAGCCACCCGAAGTCAGACCCCCACCTGCTGTCAGAAAAGCAGTGTCATGATCCTGCGTAATGGGAGATATGATGCCAAGACTCAGGAAGGACTCACAGCTGTATTTACCACTTAACATGAAGCATCCTTAGCTACAGAAAGAGAAATTGGGCTGGAGAGATGGCTCAGTAGAATAAGCACTTCCCTGGCAAGCGCAAGGGCCTGAGTTCAATCCCCACTTCCGCCTACCCCTTTTGTACAGAGCAGCAAGTTCAATTAAATTTCCACTAAAGTAAGAAACCTAGTCTTGGCCCTAGTGCAGTAGGAATCTCTCATGGGGGTGTGGGGAGGACTTCTCAGAGGATGGTTTTGCTGTAAAATGTTTTACAGATGCCCCTGAAGCTCTGAGTAACCTAGAAATGAACACTGTACTGGACACACCTAGTGTTCCAATGCCACAGCCTGCCTGCCACAAATGTCAGCAATGGGCCATGGGAGAGAACGTGCTTCAGTCCCAGAATCACTGCTCTGCCTAGCACCACCAGAAAATACTGTATCGTGCATCGCTAGCCCAGAAACAACCAAAATGCAAAGGCTTCTGAAGTCGAATGCTTCTGGACTGCTATGAAGCTGAAAAGCCCTTGAACACCAGTGAGTGTACAAAGACACTGTGATGTGGGAGGGGCTTTGATTATAGCAAGGGGCTTCAGGGGTAAGGAGAGTCTAAGGGAGAGAGTAAGAGCAAAAGTACTCAAGAGACAATGTTCATGAGTTTATGTACAATTATAGCTGTTGCTAAGCCAGCAACATTCTGAACAGCACTCCGAAGAGCAGGCCCATCCTCTGCTTGGTCCCATACATATGCAGAGGCTGGCCTGCACCCCCGGGCCCACACCCAATGCACACAGCCATGCCGCCATTTCTGATTCCCTAAAAATAGCCTGGGCTTGGAGGCTTATATGAATGATAGTAAGATGATTCAATTTTCTTGCTTCAAAATCCAAATTAATTCAGGTTGAAGGCACCGAGGTAATCAATATTTTACAAAGCAGTACTTCTACCCATCAGGCATACACAGCACTGTAGCAGACCACTGTGGTACCCTCCAGAGGTGACAAGAGGACAGCACGCAGTCACCAGCCTGCTGCAACAGAAGCACAGGAATGAGTGGCACTCACTCATCTCTCCTGTGCTCTGCAGAACCCGGGCTGTGGGGACCGAACAGTTAGACAGCCGGGAGCCACATGTCACCCTACCCAGGCCCCTGAGGGGCTCACACTTACTTTTTCGGAGGCAGTGGCAATTCTTGTTCCCTGCAGGTTTAGGGTGATGCAGCTAAGGACACCCTCGTGAGCAGGAATGTCCATGGGAGGCTTCTCAGTACTGGCCAGGTCCACGAGCTGCACATGGCCCGTGTGGGTGCCCGGGAAGGCCAGGAGGGAGTTGTTACTATTGGGACACAGGACACAGAGGCCTGAACAGAGACAGAGGAAGCCATCAGCAGCTGATACTGGGCCAAAACTCTGATTCCTCACAACCAAAACCTTTTTGTTCAGAAAAGAATGATTATCTTCTTAGTATACATTTTTATCATAATAACAAAGTCAACTTAAGGACTTCTGATTGTAAACGATATCAGGAACAAAGCGACCACCCATGAGACACTCTCACAAATGGAAACACATTCTCTGAACAACTGATTATTGAATAGAATGACATCTGTCTTTTGTGATATCAGCTACTGAGAACGCACTACCATACTACAAAATATACAAACTGCTCCAAGCTGGTTATGGTAGCATATGCCTGTAATCCTAGTAGGAGGGTCCCAAATTTAAGTGCTACCTGGACAATTTAGAAAAATCCTGGCTCAAAATTAAAAGAAAGGGCTGGGAGCTCAGCAGTCTAAGCATCTGCCGGGCAAGCACAAGGACCCATGTTCAATCCCTAGTACGGCATGCAGTGCCCTGCCAGCCACCAAAACCAGGTGTGGTGGCACATGCCTATAATCCCAGCACTGGGGAGGCTGACACAGGAGGATCACTGAGTCCAACTTGTGTAGTCAGACCCTATACCAAATAAATAAATAAAATATTTATTTATTTATTTATTTATTGTACCAGGGATTGAACTCATGACCTTGCATAAAAGATTAAAAAAAATTTTTAAAGTAAAAAAGGGCTAAGGATGTGGTTCAGTGATACAACACTGCTGGGTTCAATCACCAGCATGTCCCACCCCCATACAAATAGAAAAATAACTATAAAAAATAGTTTAAAGCCAGGCATGCTGGTGCGTGCCCATAATCCCAGCACTTGGGGGGCTGAGGCAGGAAGATCACTATGAGTTTGAACCCAGCCTGAGCTACATGGTGAGACCATTTCAAAAAACCAAAACAAACAAAACCCCTAAGAGATCCCAAGTACATGCTAACAGGTACATATAGCAAAAGATGCACAAGCCCTGCTCTGGAGGACCCTACGTCCCTGGCCACAAGGCCATAGGACAGAGCACTGCCCTTTGCTACAGTCAGCAGCTACTACCAACAACTCAGCAGACAAAGCTGAGAGCTACAAAGGAAAACAAAGGATGAGGATGCAGGGACTCCTGGAACAAGACTACATGAGTAACAGTCCGATTTCAAGAAACCAGAGCAGAATGGCTTGGCCCAGAACACAGACCAGCGCCCTGAGGCATACAGCAAAGCACAACTGGATGCATTGGTGGGGAGTACAAAGCCAGGTGGGACTGGGAAGGAGAACTCAAGCATCCAGAAAAAACCTAACTGGTCAATGCAAAAGTGCGAAAGTAATTCAATGCAAAAAAGGTCTTTAAAGTAATATGGGAGGCAGGAGAGAACCTGGGCCTTCATCTTACATACAAAAAGTTAACCTAGAGGGCTTGCTGGTTAGCTCAGTTGTTTAAGTGCCTGCTGGGGCAAACCCAATCAGGCACAGGGGACTACGGTTTGATCCCCAGCTCCCCATGCTTTTACCAGATCCACCCTTAAGGCAGCCTAAGCCAGCCAAAAAAAAATCCAAAGTTAACCTAAGCTGGAAGATCTAACACTAGACTTTGAGAATAAAACACAGAAGTCTGTCAGATGAAGGCTCTACCCAGAATTCAGGTGGAACTTTATAAGAAGACCACAATCAGTTAGTTAAAAAATGGGGGCAGGGAGCCAGGGAGATGGCTCAGTGGAATAAGGGCTTCCCTGGCAAGTGCAAAGGCCTCAGTTCAATCCCCCATTCCACCAAAAAAAAAAAAAAAGAAAAAAAGGAAAGAAATGAGGGCAGACACAGGCATGCTCCATATAGTCCCAGGACGTTAGAAGGCTGAGCTCAGAGAATTTTGAGTTCAAATCTTGTATCTGTGGTGGCTGGGGAGATAGCTCAGTAGAATAAGTGCTTGTCTGGCAAGTGCAAGGTCCTGAGTTCAAGCCCCGGTACCAAAAAAAAAAAAAAAAAAAAAAAAAAAAAATCTTGCAGGCACAACTTACTGAGACACTGTCTCAAAATAAAAAAATTAAAAAGGGTAAGGGCCAAGGAGATAGCTCAGTAGAATAAGCACCTGCCTGGCAAGTGCAAGGTCCTGAGTCCTGGTACTTCAAAATAAATAAATAAGTAAATAATAGAGTTCCATTTTATTTGAATGGAATAAAATGGAATACCCATCTCTGACAAAATTAAACAAAAAAGGGGGCTATAAATGAAGAATCATTTTGTAGTGAAAAAAAAAATACACACACACACATACACACACATATATCTGTATATACAAAATAGGATAGATATACAGCTACTTTCTCTTAGTTCAATGAGAAGATTTGTACTAATAGTGTTTTGATATCATTCTGGCTCTTGTATGATGAATAACTACCAGGAAGACAACAATATGCTATGGATTAATTATTGTAAATGTCCTACTAACCTGTTTTGAAACTGTCTCATTGCTATTTTTTTCTCAATAAAATTAATTATAAAAAAAAGAAAAGATAATAAAAAAATAAAAAGAGCAGGGGAAATAGCACAGTGTTAGGCCCTTTGTTCCATCTCCAGTGCTATCCTCCAAAAAGGTCAGTTCACACAAGATATGTGGACCAACAGTGTATGAAAAGGTGCTCAGGTCCCTAATCCTCCTGCAAAGGCACTACTGGAAGTGGCCCGGCAACGGCCTGGCCTCTCAGGGTGTGCATCCTTGGCTGTCCTGAGGTAAGCAGCTTTGTTCCATATCCTTCCACCAGAAGCTTCTGCCTCACCACAGCCTTGACAGCCACACAGCTGGCTGACAGAAGCCTCCAGTATGAGCCAACACAAGCCTTTCCTCCTCCAGGCTGTTTTTCTTAGGTATTTATTTGATCACAATGATGAACACATGACTGCATGGTATACTGGCAAACTATCCAAGCAGTGAACACAGACGGCCCCCTGTACTATGAAAAGTTAAACACAGCCAGCACAGTGGCACACCTGTAGTTTCAGTTACTTGAAAGGCTAGGCAGGAAGATTACTAAGCCCAAGAGTTTAAGACCAGCCTGGGCAGCATAGCAAGATTCATGTGAGTTACTTAATTTATATCACAAGATAGCTGGCCTCAGAAGCTTCTAATTCTGGAGGCAAGGAAGAAAATGCTAAGCTCAGACTCAACGCTGTGTGCTCCAACACAGGGTGTGGCCTGAGGACTTGGTGTGCTTTGGGGGCCCCCTTGAGGTCTTGGGATTGAAATCTGGGGATTCAGGATGGGTGGGGAAGCACAGGAAGCAGCTCTCAGTTGTGGCACAAAGTGTGGCTTCAGCACTATGGATCCAGAGAGCTCAGAGTCATGGAGGGCCAGAGCTGGCAGCAACTCCAAGTTCTCCTGGGGGCAAAGCATGCCCCGCCCCACCCCACCACAGTGCTGCAGCGCAGACACCTCCTTTAGGACAGCCTGGAGCCTCACAGCCACCCACTGCCACCCACCCTCAAGGTGCTCACCTTTAGGGTTATAGCAGGTCTCGAAGACATGCAGCTGGTGAGGGTTGTGTGTGAATGTGAACACTTTTATCATGGAGTCCAAGACAACCACAATTCTGCAAAGAAAAGACGATCAGAGTTCCATGCCACAAATGGTGAAACATAGAATTTTGAGATTCCCATTCTTTTCCATTTCTTGAGTCACGGTCTCACAATGTAGTCCAGGATGGCCTTAACTCATGAGATCCGCCTGCTTCGGTCTTCTGAGTGCTGGGATTACAGGTGTGCACTACCCTGCCTAACCTATGATATCTGTTATCATTTTTGAAACTCAGAATTATTGGAAATACCATATACAGAAAGAGCTGTTTTTGAGTAAGACCCAAAGCAAGGGGCCTTTGGAAGTTGGACACAGATGCAACCAGGTGGCATGTGTCTTAGGGCAATGCTGGGGGGGGCTCAAACTTGACCCAGGTCAGCCTCAGAGAACACTGCCTATGGAAGAACCAAATGAAACCCACCTTCCTTCCTTTATACTAAAACTACTACCCTAGCCATTTACTTATTTGTATTTTTATTATTAATTGATTTGAGACACGGTCTCATTATGTAGTCCATGTTGGCCTTGAACTCACAATGATCTACCTGCCTGTGCTGGGATTACAGGGCACAGCTCCATGCATAGCTACAAATCATACTTTCATATTCTTATAGAGATCTTCATTGTTAAGAACAGTCTGCAAGCAGATCTTTGATTTGGTTCAAGCTTCTGTGCTACCAAGGGCTTTCCACAGCTCTGCGCTCAGCGCTAGCCCAGTCCCCCAGCTCTCAGTTCCCAAGCACCAAGTCCTCAGGCTGTTCCCACGTCCTCACAACTGATAGGAAAAGCATTCTGAAGTCAGTAGGAAGAAAGCCTGTGAAGAGACCACTGACACCGGCAGGGACAGAGACACAGCAGGGCTTCCACACTTCTCTCACCCTCTCCAGCACTTGGCAATGCCAAACTGACACCAACTCTGGGTCCCTTCCGGGCTCTCCTAGAGGTCATCCCTGCAGGCCACATCATCCTCTGGCCCCAAGGCCAGTTGAGATCCCACCTTCTTCCATCAGCTCTGGATGTGATGGTCATTAGCTAGCGTCCCTAACATTTTAACACAGCATTTCTGAAAATGATTTTTCTGTGACAGAAAAGCATTGCAGTGTCCTGTGGGAATGTGGAACAACCAACCCATGGACAAGGACATGAAACTAACCTATCTCGTCGCAGCTTCACTGCTTTGACCTCCGTGGAGAACTCGATCTCAATGACGGTCTTCTTCTTGAGGTCATCCCAGATCATCACTGCAATGGCAGCAGAGTGCACCCAGTATAGCAGGCGCTCAAGAGTGCACTTGTGTGCACACATGCACACACTCATATAAGCACACACTTATACATGCGCATGCACACTTAATCTCAGCCCTTCCCAGCCCAGTGAGTAGATATGGGACATCATTCAGCATTAAATAGAATCAGCTATCCAAACAGGAAAGAAACATATTTTAATGCTTCATTTCTAAAATACATTTATAAGAACACATACATGGGGGGCTGGGGAGATGGCTCAGTAGAATAAGCGATTGCCGGGCAAGCGCAAGGGCCTGAGTTCAACCCCCAGTTTCATTAAAAAA